AATGGATTCATTATAATTGGTATTAGAAAATTAGCTGCGTTACGCGAACAGCATGCAGAGTTCATCGCCTCTCAAAAACGTGACGCTGAAGAAACAATTCGACTATTAATGCCTTCGATTGCACGTAAAATAGAAATAGAGAGAGCAAAAGATGGTCTTGTAATTTTGGAAGCTTTTTACGGTAACTTTAAACCGACAATAAGTGGCGCTTCCGTACTAGACGATCAATCCGTTGTTGATGTAACCATACCAGTGCAGGCTTTAGTGAATGATTCACAACTGACAATTCCGGGTGGTCGTTCGAAGGTAGAATACCAGGAAATGCAATATATTTATTTTGATAACTCAGCATTATTTTATTATTAATCAAATTATTATATTTTAGTCTTCTATAATGGGATTTTATGATCCTTGCATGGGAGAACCAAAACAATTGAAAATAAAATACCTATTCAAACGAAAAATTCATGAAACTATTGTTGATGATTTAGCTCCGATAGCTTGTCCGCTAAGATGTAAGCAAGTTAATTTTTGTTAATTTTTATTTACAATATTGTTATTAAAATGTACAAAATTATCAATTTAATAGCACATATGATACCGAATGAACGATAGCACTCGAGAAGTTTCGGTGATAATAATTGAATATAAAGATAGAAGAGAAAATTTATATAATTAATAATAGAAAGATCCTTATTTGTGGAGATGTAATTTCTTTGGTTTCATTTGCGAATCATCAAATTCTTTTTTCATACTCAAAATTCCTTCAACGGTTGATTGTTTTCCTATCTCGGGAATATTTGCCCAAAGCCCCTCTAAATCATAAAGATCGCGTGCTTCCTCAGTGAATAAATGTACCATTATTGAACCAGCATCAATCAACATCCAATCTTCGGAATCTCGTCCTTCTATAATGGGATAATTATCGATTAATGAACCAGTTGGATCTGTTTTCTCAGTGTGTTGTTGCAGTTTATTTTTTAACTATAATTAATTATAGTATTGTGATGATTTTTATATGCATGGTTCCTATTTGTTAACATTTAAATGGTTACTCATTTATCGTTACCTACCATTTTATATACACCGTCCACTAGACCGCCTAGATGTCTTGATCCTTTTCCTTCTCCAACAATCATCCAATCTGTCCAATCACATTTATTTCTTACGTCTATGATTGACAAATTCGACACACCTTCGTCCTCCAATACACGAACGATATCAATTACTTTAGAGCCATACTTTTCAAGTGCGTTATCCTTTTTTAGATCAGCTAATATACTCTTTTTTGAAGGATGATCCATAATCCCTGGTGTTGCAGCTCTTCTTTGCCACAAAGGAATATACTTGCCATCTCCCTGATCAGCATAATTACCAAGATTCTCGTACTTTGGGTCTACAAACCAAGAAAAGTCATTTTCATTTTCATCCTGTTTGTCATCTTCATCAAAACTGATTAATTCATCTTCGCCCTGATTGTCATCATTCGCACTTGTCTGTTTTTCGTACTTATTTTCGTCCGCTTTTCTGAGCACAATTTGATCTCTTTTATTTTTCTTTTCTACGTCCCTGTTTGGATATAATTCTGGAAAATCCTTGGGATTAATGATTTCCTCATAATCCTCGCCCTCATTTTCGTCGTATTCTTCAATACCATTCTCGTCGTCCTCATCGTCCTCGTCATCATCATCGTACTCATCATCATACTCATCATCATCATCATCATCATCATAATCATCATCGTCGTCATCATCATCATCATCATCATCATAATAATCATCAGAATCCGAATAATCATCATCATCATCATCATCTTTTTGAATTCGAGCATTTCTATTGCTATTAACTTTTCTCGCCAAGAGTTCATTACGAGTCGCTAAAGACGCGAAAAATCGTGAATTTTCCGCTTTTTTTGAGCTTTTTTTGGACAGTAGACCTGCACATAACTTTGAAGATGCCTTTGGGTTGCTTAAATCAGGAAATTCTTTATATTTCAGTGAGTAGAATAGCGTGCGTTTTATTTTTGAGAAATTTGTATCTAATGTTGTTTTTCGTACAAGAGCGCGATATTTGTACATTGTGGTTTTTTAACGAAATTTTTTCAGTTTGGATTATTGTAGATCACAAAGCACCATTTTTTATTTGATTGGATTCAGCCACAAGATTGAAATCATTTATTTTGTGGCTGAATCCAAACAAGAAGCCAATAAAATTCGACCTAAAGCACGCAATTGTGATCAAACCACATGTCTGATCAAAATATGTTGATTACATAAATTTTAATGTACTTTCAATAATTAATATGCACACAATGCTAAATCCAATTAAGTTAAATGATTAATTTAATTTGCAGTGCAAAGTTTATTCGATTTAAAAGTTGTTCATTACAAAAATATAAACAGATTATTTTCTTTATTAAGATAAAACAACACCATCACTAAACATCACGTCATCCCCCCACATTCTCTTGAACTTGCTGCAACAACCCGCTCTTATCAGCTTTAATTAACTCCTGATGAACATAAAAGAATTGTCTTGTATGACGAACAATTTTTCCAGTTTTTGCGTCTTGAGAATGAATCGCCGAGAGATAATTTGGTCGGATTTCCCAGGTGGTAAATAATTTTTTTGATGGTGTAAGAGCTTTAATTGGGACGGTGGTAAGAATTCTGCGGCCTAAAAAGGAAAGTGTCTCGATAGTTAGTGGTGTGTCAATAGTTATGATTGGCGATGAAGTAACGGATGAGATGTCCGAGACGGATGACGAAGATTTTTTGGGAATATACATTTTTGTCGCGTATGGGGCGAATAGGAATGTTATTAGGCCGGTCGATGCAGCACTTGTTATTATTGCTTTGTAGAATTAGAATGTTTGTTAACATGTTAAATAATCGATTCTGTCAGAGAATATAATAAAAATAATCATACACACCAACAAGGGCTAAAACACTTCTCGGCAACAAGCCCATTTGGTTATCCACTGTAAAAATTAGTGGCGTCATACTTTTAGTGAAAAATAACGAGGCAATTGAAAAAATTTTAAGACGTCTTGCCGGATCCCCAAGCGGTCCTTTATATATTAGTAAATGTTCTTTTTCGCTGAATGGTAAGGCTGCAGAGGCGGATTGTGAGTTTATTGTATCCGTGGTCGGGATAGGAGCGGTGGTGGTGGTGGTGGTTGTATAACCGAAACATTGTATAAATTGAGTTTTGCGCTTATAATGCGTTGAATATTTGTGACATTTACAAGTTGTAAAGTTTTTAAAGTGAAGAGAATTGTGAGTCGATTTTGAAATAAATTTCGGTAAAGAAACGACGACGCGACCTGGAAGTAGTGTTCTATAAAAATGCATATTTCAGTTTTTTTTTGTGCGAGTCATATGCTCTCCATCAAATTGGTGTCGCGTTTTTTAATATCGATATATGATATCCCATATATAGGTTGACTCAATCGAACTATCGCAATTGTATTTTTTCACCTTACGATTCAAAATTGTCTCATATGACTGAGATATTGTGTCACTGGCTAATCGTAATAAAATTTTTCGATGATCTAATAATTATATAAAATGGATAATTTTAGGGTGTGAATTATGACATATCAAGCCTTAACAGGCAATATTAATGACAAAAGTCGATTGTATGTGTTACCAGTAGGTGTGGAAAATGGCTAAAATGCTGCATTATGATAAGACGATGAAATTACCTTTTGGTTAATTGTGACATATTTTTAATTATTTGAAAGCCAAACGAAATAACGAAATAGGGTGTTGGAGGTGGCCAAGGTTAGATATTAATCGTTGTTTCAGGTCCGGGAAATCCGACACTGATTTCTTCACACGAGCGGATTTATCAAAATCATCATCTCTTCAAAATACCCCCAAACTAATATTTAATTTTCGACCTAAAACCCATTATATCATTATCTGTTAGACTGTGTGCTATTGTTGTATTTTCAACTGCGAAGTTTAGAAATAGTATTTTTTTTTCCCTACTTTTCTTCAAGATACTAGCCATAACAAGCAACAATGGCCTCGCCGCCAGACATCGCGAAAGAAAGAGAGCGAGCGGCTTATCAAAAGCTCGAAAGCAGAACACAAGAGAAGCTTCAAAAACTTCAAGGTCTAATACCTAAAGAACCAATAGCTTTTCCAGAGCGCGCGAGAGGAAATAATATATTTAGTCCGAATGAAATAACACCAGTCGAGTTTGAAAATGGGTTTGATGAATGGGCTACATACTTTGTGGACGATCCGCCAATTCCGCGACCTCAGAGTCATCGGTGGCTTTGGCAACCACCACCACAGGTATTTATTCTCTTGTGTTTTGGTGAGTGCGATAAACATGACAGACAAGTTTGTCGATAATGGACAAGGATTTTACGCGATCGTTGTCTTTTTCGTGGAAAAATTCATTATAAATATCGAATATACATTAAATCTCTCAAGGAATACTCGCTCTAAAGCTCTTAAACTATTATCATTATCATAAATTTCACAGAAAAAAGAGATTCCTCAAATATTGCGAGACATAGATTCTCTGAAACGCGCACTTAATATCACGGAAATTCGAATCGGGGTGACAGACTTGACGCCTCCAGAAATGCGTATGATACCATCAGGCAGACAACCACAACAACCACCACAGGCACAGCCTCGATTACCCCAACCGCCAGCTGACGCTCGACAACCAGAAAGAGTGCCTGATACAAAATCTGTCGATCAAGAAAAGAAATACAAAAAGATGCAAGCACAAGTTGATAGCATGTAAGATAATTTATCTTCAAATTTGTCATTAGTTATCGATATTTTTAGTAATACTGCCATTTCTTGAACAGTATCGCGGAGACAAAGTTGAAAGAACAAAGAGAGAAAGAAGAGGCTGAAAGGAAGAAAAGGTTAAGAACAAGACAATATACTTAAGCATATTAAATAATTATTTATAAGAAATTAATGATTTTTTCAAATCTTTGTTATTAACAGAGAGGAGGAAGAACGGGCAGCAGCAGCCGAAAAAAATCGCCGTGCATTAGCAGCGCAGGCGCAAATAAAGCCATTGCGACCATTATACGAATCAATATCATCTTTGGGACGTAAGGGGACTAAAGAACCAAAAAAAGGATTGATTGAAACACCATCGACGAAAAGGGCAACTCGCCGAACATCTAATCCTTCTGTAGCAGAGGCGAAGTCTGTTGTAGCGTCGAGCAATCGCACCAATGGAAAAGGAAAAAATAAATTTCATTCAGAGGTAAGTGTTATTAATCGAATGAATTTAACATATTTAATTCATTCAATGTAAAATTTAACGTTATAAATTTTAAGGATGAAGGAATGGACATTGATATTACAAAGGAGCAACGGCAGCTATCAGATATATTACGTTCGGGTTTGTTGAGCCCATTGACTGAGCCATTATCAACCAAGAAGAAGCAACTAAAGTCTAATCGAGGACCAATATCACGTGCCCGATCTAGGACGCCTGAAATAGTCAATGCAGATACGCGTAATAAATCGGCCAATGCTACTACTGTTGGCGAAAAGAAGAAATTAACTATTAAATCATCAACAAATAAACAATCACGATTGACCTCAAAACAAACTGAAAAGGCCACAGAAGCAGTGAACGCTACACTAACCGTTGCACCTTCAATTTCCGAATCACCAAAGAGGAAGGGACGTAAATTAGCGGAGGACGATGCATCTGCACCAGCGCGGAAAGTGCACAAAATTTCTGCAGATGATAATGCGGCATCGAGAGCTGCCAATGTCAATCAGCAAAAGATAAATAATTCTGATGCGACACTAACTTCTGCCGTTAATCCGGTAACATTCATTTCTGATTATATATTTACAAATCCAGGCAAATTTTTTTTGCTCTCATATTACATGTCCTGAATTTTGCTTTCATTATAGTCATCCAACAACTTAAACGCGCGGCCGAATCAAACATTAGTAATAAAGTAACCGAGTGTTCTATTCTTTCCTTGTCAAGCTTTACTTTTTTAAATAATCTATACGGATTAATTAAATATCGTCGTTATTTTTTATAGACTTCGAATTCCAGCAAGGGCTATCGTCGATATGGAGATTGAAGCACAGAAAGACACCAAAAACGAGCAGAAAGACGAGAAACAAACGTCTTATAATGAACAGCGAAATAAACAACAGGTTAATGAATACAAGAATAGTTTTAAACAGAAAGATGTAGCTAACGATCAAAAGGACATTAAACAAAAGGGTGCAGTAGTAGCAGTAGTAGAGAATGAACACATTGAAACAACAAAGAAAAATGCGAAATTTGAAGAGTCGGATGATAGACGAAAACGGCGGAAACTAGTTTCTGACTCAACTGAAATAGATTCCTTGTCTAATTCGATTCCGGATAAGAGCAAATCCGATTCGAATGTTAAACTTAATACTAATCTTTCTAATCTGGACAAACAACAATCTAATTCTGCAGACTCATTTATGGTAAAATCAACGGAAAATAATGTTAAGCTGGAAAATGATAATGCATTACACGGAAAACCACACGAACCGAATTCTACTGAATCAGCGATAAAATCAAAAGACAATATAACAACGACGTCCACATCCTCAAGATCCATAGATACCAAAAATAATAGCAATACTTCTCCCACATCAACACGAAATTCAATAACAAACTCTCCTTCAAAAGACCGAAAAGACGATAATCCCACGCGGAAAATATCAGAAAAAAAGGAAACAACGCCTTCTAAACATTCGAAAGAGAAAATGGAGAAAGAAGAATCAACATTACGAGGTTCGAATGACAAAAAGGAACCGACATCATCGTCGTCAAAAACTTCTCGAGAAAAAAAAGAAAAAGATGAGACGCCATCTAAAAGCCCAACTGAGAAAAAAGAGCACAAACCCTCAAAAGATCGAAAGGAAGAAACAACTTCGTCGCGAGCATCAAATGAAAAGAAAGACGAGACTGCGTCTCGAAACTCGAATGATAGGAAAGATGAGACTTCGATACGTTATTCAAGCGAACGAAAAGATGAAATCTCTTCACGACATTCAAACGACAGAAAAGAAGAAAATTCGTTGCGTCATATAACCGAAAGAAAAGATGAAACATCTTCACGGCACTCTAGCAATCGAAAAGAATCAATATCATCCTCGCGATCTTATAAAAGAGACGATACATATTCATCTAGAAGCTCAACAAGTAGACGAGAAGAATCATACCCTTCCAGAAATTCAACAAGCACCAGAAGAGATGACGTTTCTCGTAATTCCTCAAACAAAAGAGATGAAACTTCTTCACGAAGAAAAGACGAAAGCGCATCGCGGAATACAAGTAATAGCAAAGAATCAAATTCGTTACAAACTTCAAAAGAGAAAAAAGACGAGAATAATTCATCGTCACGCAATTCGAGCGTTAAAAAAGCGACGACAGAGACAAGGCAATCATCAAATGATAAAAAATCTGCAAATAGTTTATCGTCATCGAATCAAATTCAAACCTCTTCCTCGAAGACGGACGATTCTGGTAAGAAATAATCTTATCAAATCGTTTTCTCTCGGACTTTTATTCGTAATGTTCTGTAATTCACACATTCATCCTATTTTCAGTGACCTCCAAGAACACAGATGATGACGTTCAAAAGTAACTAGATAGAAATTTTCAAACAACTTTGGTTTTTTTTAATTCACGCTAAAAATAATAATTTCATATTTTACAGATTTGCGAAAATTGGTAAAAACTATAAACACGAGGGAACACGAAAAATTAATGAAGCATTAGCAGCAAAAAACAAAATCTCTGCAGAGCATCATCGTGCAGTTGAGGAACGCAGCAACGCAAAAAGATTGGTTACCGAAAAGGAAAAATTAGTTTCCGAAAAAGAATCACTTCTCAACAAAGTGAACAGCAAATTGTCGCCGGCTGAAACTATAAGGTTCAAGGAGGATTATAAGAGGGCACAGGAGGATTATAAGAGGGCACAAAAAGATCTCAAAGAAAAGGAAGAAAATTTGGCATCAGCTGAGGATAAATTAAAAAGTGGGAACGCTGAATATACGAATAATTTGAAAGCGGCTTTCCGGGACCTTGCCAAGTCGCTTAGTGCGTACACTCGGATGTGAGTTTTATGTTCATCTAAAATCCTGCTTTTTATAGACTTAATTGATTAATATATATTATGTATTGAACTAATTTTTAGGTACGCTTGCCAAGTCTCAGCGACGACGAACAAAGGTAACCATAGGCACCTTGAACTTTCTTCAGGTTCTTTGGAGCAGTTGGTGACCGAAACTATTTCTTGGGCTGCAAAGAACAACAACAGAGAGTTGGAAGGTCTCAGGTAACGAAAGAAAAATTATTCCTTTATAATAAAGCTTGGAAAGTTATGATTTAATATTATGATTATTCTTTTTCAGTCTTGCCCTCCAAGGTCTGTTAAAGATACAGGAGGCAAAATGCAAACCTCAATGGCAAAAGCTTGCCTTAAACCTTGCTGAACTCTTGGAGGCTTACGAATGAGCCTTCCAACTCTCTCCTGCGAAAGAAAAGAGTAAGAAAGCAAAAGGCGCCGAATAATTATTCATTTATTTAAAAAAAATTCAATCATATCAATATCAAATAAAAAATATAATATTTAATTTATTTCCTCCTAATTTATTTAGCTTTATTATTACACTTAATAATAAAGCTAAATAAATTAGGAGGCAATTATATTAATATTTAATTATTTATGTAAATTTGATTAAAAATAATCAAAATATTACGAAATATATATTATAATAAACAAAGTGCGGACCTGATAATAGTTGTTGTGACAATAGTAGTAGTATTAATTATTATTTTTCTCTTTTAAATCCGCATCCGTTCTACCAACAATAATTGTCGAATTGAAACTTTTCCAAAGCGCAGCGACATTCTCAAAGTCTTTACCGACTGCAGTGACACTATCCAGATTTTTGGATAGCAATGCCATGTTCGTGTTTACTTGTTCGATACCCTAATTTTTTTAATTGTATATATACATAGATAAAATAGAAGAATTTACTTTGCACAAATAGATAGGTTATTTATTACCTGAAGAATATTGTTGAGCAAATTATCACGTTCTTTTTGGAATAGTGTATGTTCGGTAGTGGTATTACTATTATTAGTATTAACATTAATTGACCCCATCGTTCTTGCTCTATGAGGAAAAATATTAAGTTTCAATTTGACGCGACGCGCATTACGAAGTCTATCAAATATTTAGTTCTAAATCCAACATCGAATCCACCAATATTCCATCCTGACTTGAAAATAAATTCGGATATTCATTTAGAGTCACAATTGCATTCGACATACGATAAAAATAATGTCAGCGACAGATAACAGCCAACCCACAGTTACAAGCTCCCCAGAGCTGGTTGGCGATTCGATAAATTATTTCTCTAAAAAATCAAAAACTTATTTTTCTCGAGAGGAAATTCAACAATTCTTGAAATTCCATAATAATGAGTCTTCTCGAGGGAGCACAAGTAATAGCAGCAACAATATTATAGACAGCAATAGCAAAAATAACAAGAACAATGCTATTGCGACAAATAAAGATATCGCTATTCGGTCGCAATGGATTGACTTTATTAACACGGTTGGACGAAAGCTTGGATTGTAAGTATATTTGAGATAAAGGGAAATTTTCGAATTTTTTTTAAATGGATTGATATTTGATGAGAAACTTTATTTTGTTAGTCCACAAAGCACCATATGTACAGCACAAGTTCTATACAATCGATTCTTTCTCTTTCACTCGACAAAAGAATATCCTCCAAGTGTATTTATTCATCAATCTATTTTCTTGCCTTGGATTATTGCTCGATCGATTATCAATTCTAGATATTTCTTTAATTCCACCATAAAAAAAGGATATTAGTTCAGCGTGTCTTTTTGCGGCAATGAAATTCGAGGAAACGCATAAGAAACTAAAAGATATTGTGGCAGCTGTGCAATCAATTAGGTATCCAAATAGCAGTGAACCTAATGATCAAGTGAGTTTGATTTTTCGTATGATATGCATGCATCCAACAAGTGGGTAGGCTGCCTTTAGTCTGTAGCATCAATGCATTTAATTATTTGCATCAGTTAGTGGAGGAACAAAGGAAGAAAATGGTCGGCTACGAGCGATTGATATTGGAATCAATATGTTTTGACTTTAAAGTACAAGATCCATATAAATACATAATCAAATTCACAAAGAAATTAGGCGGCCAGAAAGTGATCGCAGAGAAGGCTTGGAAAATATGCAACGAAAGGTTTGTAAGATCCCTTGTTAACTAACATTTAAATTCTTTGATTAATCTATAAATTCTCCTCATTCTTATCTTTAGTTATAAAACGACCATGTGTCTAAGATTCCCGCCTCACACCATTGCTGCGTCCTCGATATACCTGGCCGCCCATTTTTTAGATAAAAAAGACTTTTTGTTTTCGGCAAACATCAATGATCAGCCATGGTATAAAATATGTTTATCACGAATCGAGGATATCGAAGGTAAATATTGCACTTTATTTAAAAATCATTACTTAAATCGACGAAGAATTAATTCCAGGCCACTTTACAGAATTTTGTCATAGTATGTTAGACTTTTACATGCAAAGTAGCAGCAATTCGTCAAAGATCAACGACGAGATAAAACAGGAATATATTTCCATAAAAATCGCATTAAACAAATTAGCCGCAGAGCGCAAAAATAACAATGAACAACAACTTCTACAACAACAACTACGACAAAGCTCAGTTGTATTGTTATCATCGCTACTGGACTCGTCGTCTAATGGATATGAAACCGTGCGATATATTTTTACGCCGGATTCCTCGGATACATCTTTGTTATCACCTTCAATTTCAATACCACTATCATCGCCATCAATGTCACCACGAGCGCCATTGCTATCGCCTAATGATTTTTACTAAGTGATAGGTCACCTTTCTTAGAACTTAATGCCATAACTCCTAGGTTAAGGATAATCCTACAATATGTACATATTTAACTTTTGTATTAATTTAAATAATAATTGCTTTTTAAGTTATGTCTAATTAATTAAGCATCAATCATTTGGTTGAATGGTAATTTGCGCTTATAGTTGTAAAGTGAAATGTATTTTAACAATCTATTTAAAATGATATTTGCGATGTCTATCTGTCCAGTATTTTTTTATTTTGAAACCACAAGCTTTTTTTCCTATCTTACCCATTCGTTTCAGCTAGATGCTTCCCTTATTGCACCCGTTTTCGCGACTTATATCATGTGACCCATTAAAATCAAAAATTCCACGTGTAAAAATATTTTTTTAAATAAAAAATAATTTGAATCATAACAATAATTTTACTTTTTTTCTATATTTAGAAAAAATATATTTTTTGTGCAAAAATGGTAAAATCCTATTTACGCTACGAGCCACTAAAGACATTTGGGATAATATCGAGTTGGTTATCCAATATTGTATACGATGATACCGGTAAACTCGCTATATCACCGGCATTAGAAGATGTGATTGTTTGGGACTTAAAAAAGGGCATCAAAGTTATTATTTATTATAATATAATTACTTAGATTTCTACAGGAATTTGACCAAATCAATTAATGAGTAATATTCAAAATAGATTGGATGCTGGCATGATGCAGATAACAAATCAGAAGTCACTGTAATTCAAAAAAGTCCAAATAAAGTTGATTATGCTGTTGGGTAAGTATTGTATAATACTTCGATTACATATATGCTATGATATAATTAACCTCGTCAACGACTTCCAGATATTCCGATGGATCTATTAGAATATGGAACATAAAGAGCTCAATGTTGTCAGTTATTTTTAACGGTCATCGAGGCTCAGTTACGGCTCTCGTTTTTGATAAAAATGGCACACGATTAGCTTCAGGATCAAAAGATACGGATTTAATTGTATGGGATATTGTAGGTGAAGTTGGGCTTTACAGGTTGAAAAATCACAACTTCTTCATTCAACTTAACAGGTTTCTTGCTTGTTATGTATTTATGTTATTAATATTTTTTTATGCGTAGAATGCGTGGTCACAAGGATCAAATAACTGCGATTCGATTTCTTCAAAGGCCTTTAGAGGGAAGAGAAAAATCAAATGATGAATCTTCTTTATCTCCCGGATTCCTTCTATCTTCCTCCAAAGATACACTCTTGAAATTATGGGATTTGAATACGCAACATTGCATTGAAACGGTAGTGGCACATCGAAATGAAATATGGGATTTTGATGTATCTAAAGATGAGAGTATGCTTGTGACTGGAAGCGGAGATCCTGAATTAAAAGTTTGGAAGTTAAATCAACAAGTTTTGGCTAGTGGAATTCTTGAATCCGATGAAGATGATAACGATGAGGTGATTTTTTGCAATTAAAAATAGACAAGTACTATTCAATTTAATAAGATTTAAATTTTTTTATTTTGTCACAGAATCAAAAAGTAATCGTTTTTTATGGAAATGTTGCTAGACAAAGTAAAGAGCGAGTCACCACACTAAAATTTCATCCGAATACTAATTTTTTGGGCGTGCAAGGTCCGGATAGATTCATTGAGATTTTCCGGTTACGAACACATGAAGAAATAAAAAAAAAACTGCATCGACGTCGTAAGCGCGAAGAAAAAAAGCTTAAAGAATTAAACAAGAAAAATGAAGGGGGAAATTCAGAGACTGCTCCACCTTTGAAATCAGACATTAGAGATGAAATACATGCTTCAGATGAAATTACTTTACACGAAATCATCAGAACTACTGCAAAAGTCCGATCATTTGATTTTGCATTTATGGAAGATACAGCGAAAACGGGAGCTATACAGGTATATTGTATTGATTTATTTATTATATATTTATTTTATTATTTTTTTTCTAATAAACGATAATATAATAGTAACCAAATGAATTTCACGCCTCAGCTTCTTGCTTCGTTGAAAAATAATATGCTAGAGGTTTATAATTGCTATATGCCGTCAAAAAAAGAAGAAAAGCATCCGCATACCAAATTATTTTCTGTTGATATTCATGGTCATCGAAATGAAATCAGAACATTGGCATTGAGTTCTAATGACGAGCTATTGTGCTCTGCATCGATGGGTAAGTGAATTTAGGAATTTCATTATTTTGCAATTTATCACAAAGTAATTAATTCTTTTGATTTAGATATGCTCAAAGTTTGGAATGTTAGTACAACCTCTTGCATCCGCTCATTGGAATGTGGCTATGCATTATGCAGCGCATTTATTCCTGGTGATCAATACGTGCGTATTGAATTTATTTTACATTTTATCTTTTTTATAACGGTATCTAAATTTTTAAATGTAAAATTAACCTCTTTAAGATTGTAATTGGAACAAAAACCGGGGAACTTGAATTATTCGATATTGCGTCTTCGACTTTGCTTGAATCAATAGATGCACACGATGGTGCTATTTGGTCATTGCAAGTACAACCAAATCGGCGAGGTTTGGTGACTGGAAGTGCTGATAAACTAGTTAAATTTTGGAATTTTGAAATAATCGAAAAAAAAGAACCTGATGAGGTGATATAATTAACTAATAATTAGTTAATTCTCTGTGTGTGTGTATGTGTTTTTTTTTAGTTTAACCTTAACGAATCTATCATTTTACGAAACAGATAACAACACGAAATCTCACATTAGTTCACACTCGTACACTGAAAATAACGGATGATGTACTATGTGTACGAGTTAGTCCAAACTCAAAATTGATTGCTGTATCGCTATTGGATGCAACTGTCAAAGTTTTCTATCAGGATTCTTTAAAATTTTTCTTATCGTTATACGGACATAAAGTAAATTCCTTTAAAATTTTTGTTAATTGCTTTTCTTAATAAATTCAGTAATAATGATTTATTCCTACACATCACACACACACAGTTACCTGTTTTATCGATGGACATTTCATCAGATAATGCATTGCTTGTAACATGTTCTGCCGACAAAAATGTAAAGATATGGGGTCTCGATTTTGGCGACTGTCATCGATCAATATTCGCGCATCAAGATAGTATAATGTCTGTACAATTTGTTGCCGATACACATTATTTTTTTACAGCTGGCAAAGACAAACTCGTAAAGTACTGGGATGGTGATAAAGTACGTTAATAATGTTGTTTCCTTGTTTTGTTTCTAATCGATTTGTTTTTTTGGTTTTTAATAATGATGTGATATATATTGTTATATTTTCAGTTTGAAAATATAACAAAACTTGAAGGACATCATGGAGAAGTTTGGGCTTTGGCATTAAGTAAAAAAGGTGAATTTCTTGTATCTGCATCACATGATCGATCTATGAGGATATGGGAACAAACCGATGAGCCGGTATTATTTTCATAATTATATGTTTTTTTTCGTCGATATACTAAGAATATAAAAGATATGATTCATTTCTAATAATGGATAAAATAAAACTTTTGCGTCTATTAAAAGCTTTTCTTGGAAGAAGAAAGAGAAAAGGAAATGGAAGAATTATACGAATCAACACTGACCACTTCAATGGAAAAAACGAATTTGGAGGATGCGGTGGAATTAGCATCTGCAGGGAAACAGACAATGGAAACTCTTAAATCCGGCGAAAAAATTATGGAAGCATTGGAGATTGCTGATGAAGACAAAAACGCCATTGAGAATTATAATCAAGTAATGTTCCAAATAGTGGATCAACTATTTTTAATATATGCTTTTATTTTATTGATGGTTATTATTTATTAACTGTGCTTCTGGTAGATGAAAGCCAAAGGTCATGCACATATAGCAGCACCGCCGAAACGCAATCCAATACTATTAGCTTTAGGGAATTTGACCGCAGAACAATATGTTCTTCGAACAATAGAGAAAATAAGGTCTACAGAGTTGGAGGAATCATTGTTGGTTCTACCATTTACAAAAGTGATTTCCTTGTTAGGGTATTTGGATATATGGGCAAAAAAGGTTTTATTATATGTAATATATATTTGGATCGATGACTGTAGTTTTGTTCAACTTAATGACAAAATTGTCATGTTCATTGATTAATTAGGAATGGAATATTGCCCTCGTATGTCGGATATTATTTCATCTTTTACGTGTACACCATGATCAAATAGTCGCGAACCGAATTATGAGACCGATGCTTGATTCGATAAGAATGCATCTTCGAGCTGCGTTAAAACGGCAGAAAGTAATTTAAATAGTAGCATGATTTTTTTCGTTTGTTTATCACTCGAATTTCAAATGCAACAATTTATTCATCAATAGGATACACTGGGATATAATTTAGCCGCAATGAAGCACATTAGGCGTAATTGGGAAGCTAATGCCATTGCAGAATTCTATATGGACGATAACAATGTAGAAGGATCGGAAAATATCGACACCAATTCTGCGAAGAAACGGAAGTTCATAACTCTGACAACTGATTGATCTTCCCTTATTTTAATACCCCATTAATTAATCAAAGAAAAAACCTTATAATCCGAGTAGAACTTGCAGGAAACTACTCGTTTACATTGATATAAATATAACCTCATATGGCAGGAAAGAATTCCAGTTAATGTATTGATGGATAATTTGCTTATTCCATCATTTGCATGTTTGTCGGATCTTTTCGTGCTGAGAATTGTGTGATTAGACAATTCAAGTGGCGCGTTATTTTTGCATGTCGCTGTACAGTCAATTCTCTAAATGCACTCTCTTTAAATGCACACTCTCTTTAAGTGCACCGTTACCAACTGGTCCCATGATGGGACTTATAGATAAGTGCACATTCTTTATTCTGTAAGTGCACATTGTCTATAACACAGTTCGTGATTATACCAATCAAATTTCGCATGATTATGTTGACCATTATTCCGATAAATTCCTTAATTCCCGAAATTATAACAAGGTCTACAGGCCGCTAGCTGCACAAATAGACACGTAATCTGATACATTTTTCAGCAAATATTTTTCAGTACAATCGATTCTGTTTTTCCTCATCGCATAATTTTTCAGCATTTTTTTCAGCACAATCATTCCCATTTTTCAGCACAATATTCACATTATTCAGCACAATATTCACATTATTCAGCACATTCGTTGCATATTTCAGCATAATCGTTCATATTTTTCAGCATAATTGCTCTCATCGTTCAATAAATAATAAAAAACACTTGTAAAACCTCTTCATAAAGGCATCGTGATATAATCGTAATAATATTCTTTGCACCAGAAAAACAATGTATTGGTTAGGTTCTTGATCCAGAAAAGGCAAACACATCAGCGAAATTGATTGATTAATTTGATTAATAAGAGTTAAAGATTAGAATAGTTAGTAGTTAATAAATGTGACAGATTAAAATGAAATCGGATTAAAAATGAAATTTTCTCTATTTTAATATGAAAATTTCGTATTTTTTTGGGGGCAATTTTCTAGGTTTTTTTGGAATTTGGGTTAGGATTTAGGGTAACTTTTGTTAATAGAAGAGTATATATGGATTTCAGAGGCATTAAAAGAGGATTCAAAAAGACCCAATTTCATTTTAATCCGATTTCATTTTAATCTGCCACAATAAATGTAATTCACTTTCCGTGCAATTGTTTTCCATAATGAACCTTTTGCATAATTAACTTTTTGCAGTGTGATGTTTAAGCACTCAAGTGTACGTGCATACCCATTTATTATTTTCTATGCATACATTTCCACACCATGTCGCGTACTTCAGCTCGAAGATGCTCTTTCCTAATACCAAACATACTTAATCTGTGTTCAGTTTCTGGTCAAATGCGAACAAATAACTATGATTTTATCATTAGGACTAAGGTTAAGGTTTGCACTAGTTTGCGTACTAATAAAAATATCGGGAAGGCAATTTTATGTATAGTTTAACCTTCAATCTCTAAACCCTTTAACATCAAGATAGTAATTCATCGGATCAGAGGTCGTTTTGTTTGACATAAGGGCACCCTTGCAAAGCTCAATTAACTTGCAGCACAAATCGTGAAATCACGTGTAAATAAAGTCTGATCATTCTTTCATAGAATATGAAATATAATACGAGATTTACAAAATATGCTGGATTGGTTAAACTTTAGTTATCCTATACTACAATTTAGCACGAGCAATCGTTGCGGTAATCAATCCTAAAAAAGATTTAATAATGTCAAATAAATTAGTCGAAGAGCAAAAGTACTTAATCGATCTCCGAGCAAAGATCGAACTTTTATTCTTACCCGAAGGGTCGTTAAAAGGAACAAAAATATCGGAATCCTTCCCATTATTCTTTAGGCCAAAACGTTCGAGATCAAACGCGAAATGATGCTTATTAGGTAATGCATAAGAGACAGTCTCCAATTCCGGATGTTTTTCAAGTGCTTGTTTGGCCATTAAATATAATGTCGCTTGCACAGATGCACTATTGTCCGTGGAAAATGTCTTTAACGTAATTTCACGAATAGAGTCATAAATATCGTCAAAGGGAATATTAGCGATTGATATTGAATTCGGGACTTTAAAAGTCCAGGTGGCATCTACACTCGTCGAAAGAATTCTGTCGTCTGTCTCAGCGAGAGTAGTGTCTATATAAAAGTATATAGTCAAAATATTATTAATTCATTAAATCAATAAAAAAAATTAAAAAAAACTTACATTCGTCTCTGAAGAAAGAATGAAATGCGGACCCGGTGGTCTTCAACACCAACAAGTCTTTTAATCCAGACTCGATCGCAACACCTGTATTCCTAGAAGTAACGACACGTGTACTCCTGGTCTCATCACCATCACGTATAAAAGAATGATTGTGGAGTTTTCCATTAACTAACATTCTAGTCCATCGATGTTTGGTAATCGATACATGTACAGTAGACACATGACTATACTGGGAAATGAAATGATCTCCGATCTCAATAGCAAATAGTTCTATGTGTTGAACTTGGGCGGATTTTTTTGCAAGAATATACACAGTATTTTTTATAGAGTCTGTTGCGATCACTAAAGAGTTATCTGCTTTAGTATATGCTTTCTCAAAATTCCCTTCTAAGAGAACGCGTATCTTTTTTAGGTGAAACGAATAATAAATAAAATGCAGATAGTTAATCAGTATTTTGATAGTTTTAACGTTGTTAGCCCACCGTTAATTCTACAACTTCATGCCAATCGCCGTTTCGAATGACTTTGACCAGCCTCACGCGGTCTTTTCCATATTGTTGTGACTTTAGAACAATGTTGGACATTTAATTTAGCTTATTAATACAAACTCTTAAACAATGGATATAGTTGAAAGGGCCACGCAACGGTAACGAAGATCAGATTTAACTTTCGTGGCATTTGTACAAGTGTTTACGCATAGAAAAAAACTCATTGGGCTATTTAGATCATCCGATAACACATTCTTTAATAAAGGAAAAAATGAACTACTTCATCATCGATACTCCCAAATCTTTTTAAAATAATATGCACCAACACCCACTGAAAGAATGCTTAATGTCAATGGAACCGGTTTTGGATTTTTAATAGATCGTGGAACCATTGAACCCGCGAGAACAGTGGATGAAGCTTTTTTTTGAATAATTGATTAAATTTGTATTTCAATAAATAAAAAGAGAGAAATTCCTCACGAAAATCATAATATTTTACCAGCAGCCAATTCATGCCCATAATCAATATTTTGTTGGATCCGATATCTTTGAGCGAAAAAAAAAAGGATCGATTTAACTTCTCACCCAGAAAAACTATAATAATTACAAGTTGTATTTACCCCGCAATACCATACAATACTCCAATACCCAATCCAGCTACCAAAGATGGAATAGAGCGAGCACGCGAATAAGCTGCTATTCCACCAATTGCACCTAAAAATATCAAAATTTAGGATTGAAACGAAAATGATTACGATGCGTAAAAATTGATTTTTACATAAACCAGCCATCGTATACGCAGGATGTTGCGCCATTCTTTAAAAAAATTTTCTGTAAATCTGTTTTTTTAAGTAGATCACTTATTTTAAAATAATTAGCACCGACTATTTATAATAACGATAAGTATCGATATGTAAAATAAACAAAAATGTAATTTTAATTTTTTATTAATAAATTAAAAATTACTTCCATGAGCAACACATTGCAACAAAAC